CACACAACATCCCCCAGGGCCTGCAGGTGCTGCCCACTCAGTTCCAAACTCTCCAGCTCCCAGTGCTCCCCTTCAGCCCCTTGGCAGGACCAGCGGGAACTTTCTCTACTTGCAAGGACACCATGCTCGTGCCTCCATCCCTGTTCCATATCCCAAAGGAATTTGGTCCCCTCCTTCCATCCTCACCCACTCCACGGGTGTTTTTCCCACAGGAAAAGCTCTGCCTGTGCTTTTCCAAGCGCGGGATCACGCAGTGGAATTAGCACTGAGCTCCCCAATCACACAAAGCAGCACACAAAGTTCACCAGGATTGTGAAATCCAAGGCATAAACTGACAAGCAGAAAATAGTTTCTTGAATAACTCTTCCTTCCTGCAGGCAGCCTTATCTTCTTTTTTTCTTTTTTCCTTTTTTTTTTTTAATTTTTTTTCCCCTTTCGTAGACACGCCACGAGCGCAAAGAAATGAGCGAAGGGGGAAAAAATAACAACCAAAAAATCCCAGTTCTTGCTGAGGCAGGGTTTTCTTGTAAAGCTTCTCTTTCCGCTCAGCCAGAGCATGAGCAAGCAGGATTCCACCCCCAGGCACGGCTGCTGCCAAGGATGCTGGAAAAAACAGCACCTCCACAGGCAGGGACTTGGAAATTAAGTTTTGATGCTTTTTAGGGCTTGATTGTAGAGAAAAATCCCCTGGATTTGCCAATTTGCTGGTGCAAATTGATGATTTATTGGTGCTCGGCACCCAAAGCAGCAGCATCCCAAAAAACCCTGGGAATTCATCCCAGCTCTTCTCAGCAGCTTCATCTCCAAAGCAGCATTCCACGAGTTATGAGCTTGGGTCATTGCTTTATATGGCAAAAAATAATTTATATTTTAATAAATTTCTCGTTTAAAAAAAAAAATGCCTTGAGGACTGACACAAATCATCTTCCTAACACTCCAGCTTTCAATCCTGCCCAGTGGAATAGCTCTGAAATTTGACAAAAAATCACATTTCCTCCCTGCAAACACACATTAAAAATAGATTTTAAGCCCTAAAATGTTATTTACCACATAAAAATGAACCCCAGCTTCTGGGAAGCTCGGGGATTATGAGAAATTTCACAGCATGAATGGACTAAACCTTCATCCTGCACAACCTGAGCTTTTATTGACCAACAGGAAAAAAGGTGGGAAATCACTTACAGGTTTTGACTGGATGAATCCGAGGCTGGGATACACAGATAGGTCATGTCCTGCAATACAAAATAAAACAGTCACAAAACACCTCCAAGAATCACAAAATCCTCCATTCCTGTCCCTTTTTTTTCCTTCCTCTGTTGACCCTGAGAGGCGAAGAAAGCTGAAAACCACTTTGGGGTTTGCTCCACTGCAATGGACGAGTGCATCCATCCCACCCCACTGATTTCCCCCCAATCCCACAGGACAGACCAGGCTGTGGGGACAACTCAAATACTCAGGAACACCCCAAAACGGAGCCAGGGAGCCCCAAACTCCACCAGGAAGACGTGCACTGACAAAGCCACTCTCATCAATGAGTTATTTCCTCCCTGTCCTTTTAATACCCCGTAAATCATCTGCTGCCTGCTGGCCTGGGTCAGATTACTTTCCTCCCCTTAAAACATCGCTTCCTCGATCCTCCCTGCTCAGGGCTAAATTTAGATCCTTTTCATCTGGGGGTTGGGGTGGCTTTTTTAATCCTTTCTTAGCAAAATATGGTGGGGGAAATCCTGCAGCCAGAGCGCCAGGGATTGCCCTATCTCAATCAGCTTCACCTGGACCACCCTCCAGCCAAGGAGGCTGGAAAATTGGGTTATTTAAGGAAAGAAGGGGCAGAGCAGGATGGGCATTGGGATAATTCTGTGCTGGGGTGACCCACAGGATTTCCACCCACAGCTCCACGCCTGGTGCATCCCAACGTGTCCCAGGCTGGGAAGAAGGATGTCTCTCCTCCTCTTCTCCACCATGGAGAAGCCAAAAGGATTTTGACCCACCCCAAAGCTCAACCCGCAGCCCTAGGCCAGGATGAACCCCAGGGCTGCTCCTG